TCAGTACATTCTGGAAAGTATTCTTTTTCCAGGTCTAGATCACACATGCAAATAAATATTGTCAGAAGTTAGTCTCCTTGCATCAGTGAATACTATAGAATTCCATTTGATCCTCTGAATGATCCACTTTTGTTACTATTAGGGATATACAAAATGATGTCATGGTGTAAATGAAAATCTAGCTGGAGACATACACACACTCTTAATCCTGCTGTAAGTAAACTACTTCCAGTTCACATTCTTGGGTTCACATTTTCTCTGATCTCTGCTATTGGCATCTGACAGTCTATCACTGCTAGCTTTACAATGCATTAATCTTGGTAAGCCTCTCTGCTGTGTGGCCATCCTAAACCTGGTTTACAAGTGTGGGAATATTCCTTTGACCACTTTTGCTAACCTTGAATTACATTTGAATTAGCATGTACAACAATTCTTTAAAATGTTCATCCAACCTTTTAAATGCTCACAATCTGATCCCTCTGAATAACAACTTGAACAAAATGAGCTCAAATGTATTTCTACAGTATGGCACCTGCTTGTACTGGAATCTTTGATCACACTGAACCTTACAAACTGATGGTACATTGGTATGAGTGTCATTGTGTCACAAGGTGGCCATAGACTAAATTTTATTAGACTATTTACTACACTGTAACATGCATATTCTGTACCCTGATCAAAATCAGCATTGTCCTTTAGGATGTTGCAATTTCATTGTCAGTTTGTATGTGATCTATGAACTTAACTACAATACTGGAAGTTACTATTTGTTGAATATAATTTTTGTTAGTAACTCATTGAAACTGAATATTCTATGAGAGTTGACAACTAAGTTTATCCTTTGATCACATGCCTCAGCCCATCTCCCCTCTCTTTGTTTCTATTTTCTCATTCTCTCCTTTATAATCCTTGTTGTCTATATTTTTATCTAAATGTTATACAAATATGTAATGGTTTCCTATGTGAAAAACAAATAAGGAATGTACATCTACTTTATCCTCTCTTCTTTTTCGCATTTGTTTCATTTTGCTATAAAAACTTTTAATGCATCATCACTTTTTTACACCTTTCTATTTCTACCTTTCAATCATTCATTCATTGTCTCTTGATAGCCAGCCAGTCTGTTTTTCTTTTCATTCTATTCTCCTCTTTCTATTTTTTCCTTTTCATCTTTTTCCTTTCTTTTAATCTTCAACCTTTCCCCAACTCCCTCTCACTCTTTTCCTTTACTTTCTTCTTCCTTCCTGTTTAATATTATTATGTAGGGTTCTTGGCAGAGAAGGACGAGGGAGAATTGGTTACAGATTCCCATTCAGATCCTAGGTAGAAAAGTATAACATTTGTACATAAAAAAAAATAAAACAAAAAACAAAAAAAAAACGCAGAATGACACTTGGTAACAAACTTTCTCAAAACTTTGCTTATCCTCTTCATTTGAAAATGCTTTTTGCTTAACCCTAGAACACTAACCATGGGTATAATATACCCAGTGTAAATTTTCCTATTTTTAATTACAATTTTCAGTACCTGATTTTCTTACCTAAATAATGTTTTTTATTTCCTATTAATGTTAACTCAAAGTACAAAGTTTGAAGTGCCTGTATGTAAAATATTTCAAATAAAGATTTATATTTAATATATTTTTGATATTTTAAAAATTGGGTATGATATACCCATGGTTAGTAGTGGTGTAACTTTAATTGATGGTTAGTATTCTAGGGTTAAAATTGATTTTTGTCTACTGTAAAAATATCTTCAGGTATATATTATATATCTTTAGTAAAAAGGAAAAAATAAATCAATGACTCATTCTGTAATTGGCCACTTATCATTACAACAAGATGTTTATATAACCCATACTATCACTCGTAGGAGTTATTAAACAATTATGTCCAAACTTACATGGAACTAAATGATTACATGTAAAGTAAAGCCTCAAATTCTGGTGTTAGGTGGGGAGTAAAATTAAACTATAACCATGGGTCCATTTTAATGCTGACTGCATTTGAACCCAGTATGTCTAGGCAATGTTTTGTCTTTCTTTTTTTTTTCTTTTTTTTCTTCTTTTTTTTCTTCTTTTTTTTCTTCTTTTTTTTTTTCTTTTTTTTCTTCTTTTTTTTCTTCTTTTTTTTCTTCTTTTTTCTTCTTTTTTTTTCTTTTTTTTTCTTCTTTTTTTTCTTTTTTTTTCTTCTTTTTTTTTTCTTTTTTTTCTTCTTTTTTTTTCTTTTTTTTCTTTTTTTTTTGTCTTTTTTTTGTTGTTGTCTTCTTTTCTTTTTGTTGTCTTCTTTTCTTTTTTTTCTTGTTGCCCACCAACTTTAATGTGATGATACCATTCTTCTGGGGCACTTTAGTTATTTTCTGTCCCTCAAAGTAAATTTTATTTCTGTCAGGGGAGAAAGATTTGTTGAAAATCAGGTGAAAGTCAGTTTAGTGGTCAGGAGTTAGTAGAAGCATTAGTGGCAGTGAAAGACTATTAATCTAAATGTATTGTAAATGATTTTATTATTTCTTATAGAAAATCAAGCAAATTGGATTTTTAGTAGTCTGGAATTAATGCAAGCATTACTCAATTTATTTTTAAATGCTATGTTTTTACAGGATGTAGCTCTCCACAGATACCTTTTCTTTGTTATCTGTGAATTTCCATAACTTCTTGGGAAAGATAGTGGATTGGTTTCCCATTTCCGTCTCCACAATTTGAAATTCAGAGTTTTCCTTTTTTTTTTTTTTTTTTCAGGATATGTGTGATCATGTCTCTCCACATATTCCTTTTGGTTAACATTGTGGAGTGGTCTCTAGTTGACTTCTCCAGTTTGGAATTCAGAGTAATCATTTTGGTATGTCAACCAAAGAGAGAACCCAGTATACTTTATGCATCACTCATTATATAATGAAATTCATTGAAAACCAGAAAGAAAGGGATTGTCAGTAATCGGATGTTATAGCATGTTTTACTATGAGAATAAGGATTTATGTATTGCTAATAAGTTTTACTATAGAAATGCCTTGAAAATCAAGGAAATGGGTATGTCAGGAATTAATGTAAATAGTACAGAATAGAAGATAAGTATAGCCTATGTGATTTTTTTTAGGAGCATCTTTACCATTTAAAGCTCCATAAGCTTTAATTTTACATCATGAAATAATTCAGTTTTAAGAATAGTCCACTTGTTATTCTTTGGTTAACTCTAATCTTAAACCTCAACTAGCCTGCACTTTTTAAACTTTATTATGTAATTAATACAAAATCTTCTATTGAAGCTTTTGAATTAGATAATAAAGTTCTTTGTGATCAATATTTGATGATTGGCAAAAATGGTAACAGAATTGGATCCAAATTCATAGAATCTTTTATTTTTCCCTTTTGCACTGAAGTTGGTGACTTCTTTTTAAAAAAAATTCTTCTTTTTATTACAACTTCTTTAAATGTTTTTGTTGGTGCAACACCTATTTGTAGTAAAAGTTTTAACCTACATAACAAGCTTGTGTAAATGAATGGCAAGACAGATTTGGAAGGACTGTGAATAGACAGAACTTACTAACTACTACAAAGGATAGGAAATTGTGGAGAACCATGATCACCAACAACCTGAAGGCACATAGAACAACCTGTGTTTGTTTTGTTTGTGATTAACTGACATACTTATTTGACCCAGCTATCTTTTTTTCTTCTTTCTATCCTTTTTATAGTTTATACTTGGATTTATTAAGAAATATAAATATTCTAATTTTGTTTTATTTTTCTTTACCTGACTATAATCTTTACAAACCTCACCAAACATGTATTTATCATAAACATTACCCACTGAATAGTTCAAGCCTTTTACCATTGAGCTATCACCAGTATTATTGATGGTTGGCAAAATGGTGAACGAATTGGATCCAAGTTTGTATTTTTTTTCTTCTCCTTTCTCTCTTCTTGCATCCTGCTGATGCATTAGGTTTCTTGGGCCAGACTTTTTAGAATTTGCTTGTTTGGAAGCTACAAATTGCACCTCACCTGATATTGTGGTACAAGCTTTGGCGAAGAAGCAACTGTTCAGGTGTTGATATTTTTTTTTTATTCTTGCATATTAAAATAACATTTTTTCTGTAGAGATGGGTGATGGCTCTGATACTTTGTGATGTTTTTTGAGAATTATTGGTATTGAGCTTAGTATGGTTCAAGGTCATAAGTGTAGGCAACATAATGAGAATTGAGCTCACTACACAGTAGCAATGGTCTGCAAAGCTAACTGCTCACCAGTATTATGTAACAAAACACACACAGATATTTACTAAGCTTAGCTTATGAGGGGGTGCTGAAAATCTCTGGTTTGATCAAAAAGGGAATGATTTAGAGCTGTAAAATATCTGTGCCATTCCACATATTCCCATTAAAGACAGTTGGCACATTTTCTTTAACTCTTTGAAAAAAAAAATTCTAATATTTGGTCTGTGGGATACTGTTTTACCATCACCTCTGAAGGATTTGAAAATTTCCTCCAATCTTCTTTTAAGATTTGAAAAGATAAAATTACCAGATGGGGGCAAGATCTGGTGAGTAGGAAGAATGGTCTTTACACTTAAATTCTTAAAAACATCAGTCATCTTGCCAGCCTTGTGAGTAGATGCATTGTCTTGCAAAAAGAGAACACCTTTCTACAGTTTTACTTATCTTTTTCTCAATAACTCTTTTAATTAATTGGCACCACAGGTTAGAATAGTATTCTGTATTGTTTGGCTCTTCTGAAGATAACACATTATCATTGATTCAGTGTTTTTTACTGTTTATCAACCTTTTGCATGCTATTTAAAGCCAAAAAATACTTTTTTAGATTGTTAGATTGGAGATAATGATTTACTGATACAAGTCCTACTCAATAACCCATAGCTGGAGGGAGAAGAGCTGGATTCATACCTTTCCCAAGAGTATTTGCATGTAAGTGAACATAACAAACCTTACGGGAATTGGAACTCTTCTTTCTGCTTTCCAATTCCAAGACAATATCCATTATATCATCTAGTATTCCCAAGTGATCACCTATTTAGGTATTGACCAGGCTCGATGTTGCTTAACTTCGGTGGTCTTATGAGATCCAGTGTTTCAATGTATCAAATTATCATCAGAACTTTAAAAATGCTGCACGATCAACTTGTAGGTATCCACTTGATATTCTAATTGGCATTCAAACATTGAGGCACCCACTTGACTTGATTCTGCATACCCAACTGCTCAATAATTATTTACATTGTTATATCTGTTGTCCTCATCTTTGTTGCCATATTTATGATGTTTTGGCCATTGTATGCTCTAGCCTTCTTCAGATGATTGGAATTGGAGAAAAAATACAAAAGTTCTGTGGTCCATATGACATCAGGATTACCTTCAAATGTGGTTCATCACTTTGCAGACACCTCTTCCGAGTAAGACCTTACATAGAGGAAAACATAATTAAGGACTGTGTGTACACCTTCCCATGCGGCTGTGGTAAGAAATGTAAAGGAGAAAATAGGCTGGCTCCTTAAGATAAATCAGGTGTAGCTGACCACATATGGAGGGAAAAGGGGGATCACCATCCCCTGTAGGGTGAGGTTGAAATAATAGAAAACATCACTGGAAAAATATGAAGATTTAAGGAATCAGTACATATAGCTGGCCAAGTAAAGAAATGATTACAATATGGGAACCAGTAATATAGAGTATTTGAGAAAAAAAATAATAACAAAATTACAATATGAGCTCTGATTAAAAAAAAAAAAAAAAAAAAAAAAAAAAAAAAAATGATACCAAGACATTAGGTTTATAAGTCCCAAAAATTCATACAATGATGTCCTCAAGGACACATGGTCCAGTGGATAAAAGCATTGGTTGAATCCAGTAACTTGACCAAATAGTTGTGAGTTCAATACCTGGCTATTGAATGGCTGAGGTAAGGTGAACAAAAAACTTGGAGAGTTGAGTTAAAGGGAGATAATTGATACTGAGACAAGGAAACAGTTGGCATTCAGTGACCAAGCAGCCAGTGCTGCTTTTTGGTTGAAATTTATAAAATCTTTTTATTCAAACAATTTCTCAGTAAAATAGGTTTCTCAAGTACAGTAGTTATTAATGTCCCTTTTCAGTAGCAATGAGAGCTTCCTTTCTTGCCTCCTTGCAGGTGGGACTAGAACAATCTACCCTGGTGGACGAAATAAAGGGTTCAATTCGAAATTCCAATCACATGAAGAAGGCTGGAGCATACAATGGCTGAAACATGAATATATATGGCAAAATAATTACAATACCTCATCTCAGAAATGTAGACAGATGCTCAATAATTATAAATCCAATGTATTTCTTTGATATCTTGTCTCAAGTCTTGAGATTTTTAATTGGCTAAAATTAAGTTCTAAACATGATCAATTTCAGTCATTGACACTTTTGAACACCTGCAAAGCTGCATCTTGAATCTCAAAATCTACATGCTGGAAGTTGGCATATAACCTCTTCCTGTATGATTGGTATCTGTTACTATATGGTAATGGTAATATTAGCCATTTCCTTATAAGGAAACATTTGGCATTCATTGAGTGAGCATTTAGTGCTTCTCTTGGTTGAAATTTAGAAAATATGAAATATTTAAATATAAAAGCGTTGGAAACCCTTCTTAGGTAGGCTGAGAACTTTTCAACACCTTTTTGTGCATACACACACACACAATATATATAATTTTGATGACAAAAATGTTCTTTGTATATATTTAGTTGATTTGTAATGGTAATATTAGCAGTTTCCTTATAAGGAAACAGTTGGCATTCAGTGACCAAGCAGCCAGTGCTGCTTTTTGGTTGAAATTTATAAAATCTTTTTATTCAAACAATTTCTCAGTAAAATAGGTTTCTCAAGTACAGTAGTTATTAATGTCCCTTTTCAGTAGCAATGAGAGCTTCCTTTCTTGCCTCCTTTTTTTTTTTTTTTTTTTTTTTTTTGCATCATACCACTCATCCAACAGGAATTTCACGATGGTCTGAAGTTCAACACTTGAAAAATGCACACTTTCCATTGGCATGGTTCAGGCAATGGTCTGAAACAAATTAAAAAAAAAAATAAACACAAATATTAAAGAACAATTTTTGTATATAGTGACAAAATAATGCTCAGATTTTGGGAAGTGGGTCAGGCTGAGAACTTTTCAGTACACCCTCATATATTCAAAGAGAAGAAAGAGCAGAGAGAATATGGAATAGAAATGATATCTTATACTTATCTATTACTCAATGGTAAAGGTTCAACAGTGTACTATATTAGTAGTTATATTTGCTATCATATAATTCAGGTTGTTCCTTAGCACATCTGTTACACTATGCCAATACTTCATAAATAATGAACTATTCTGTTTTGATTGTGAGGAAAAATGGAAAAGACACATCAGAAATGCTGTTTGATTTCAGGAAGAAAAAGAAGATAGAGATAATAACACTTATGTGTTTAACATCTGCTTTGGTGAAATGGAAAACCTTGTCAATTTTTAGTCTTTTCATTTGTATCATCTAACTACTTTGAATAATGATCTCTATTTATATTTATGCTTATTATTGTACTTTTTTAAAGTTAAGCTCAAATATTTGATGATGCACTCGGAATTTTCATGCTTATTTTATAGTCATAGAACTTTCAAACTCATTAACTTCAGAATTATGATTCATCAGAAGCTTTAAATAGGAAAGTCGTGAAGTTTTCACTGGTATTTCTAGTTATTATTGTTGCACTATTTAAATAAAGAAAAGAAAGAACAGATATTCCTCTGAACTAGAATTAAGTGTTATTTTGATTTATTTGTGTTCAATTAATTTTTTACCATTTAAATTTATAAATAAAAAAATGTCTTTTAAATTCCTTGTGAGATTGAGAATGCAATGTGATGAATTATTGAGGAAAAATGAAAAATAATGTTTGTTATTTCTTACAACACTGTCTTCTTTTGTTAAATGGTTGAGTGATTGTTAGCTCGACACTAATTGTGTAATCTGGTAGAGAAATAACACTGAATTAATTTGTGGATCCACTCTAAATAGATTGTCTATAAGATAATTTGATTAATTTCCCTGCTTAGAATCTGGTGTCAATTAGAATAAGTCTTTTTTTTTTTTTTTTTTTTTTTTTTTCTTGTAAGAGAAAATTAACATGGATATATGTTATATTAAAATGTTAGACAGGTGTTTACTTTCCATTTCACTGTATATCTGTCTATAAACAGAAGTATGTCTGTACATATCTGTAGATATATTTTGTAGATTTTCAAAAAAGACAGGTGGGGGAAATCTTTGCTCCAAGATGTCAGTCTTGTGTATGCAAAATTTGTAATTTTCAAATATATACAGCTGGCTGCATTATAGCATTTCTGAGGAGGTACTCTTACAAAATCGAATTTGAAAATGTAATGTGTAGCCAGCCATATTTCACAGATGAAGTGCTGTATGTGCAGCCATGCCATTTCACAAATCAAATGACGCATGTTTAGCCACTGCATTTCACTAATGAAGTGATGCATGTGCAACCACTGCTTTTCACAAATGATGCAATATATGTGCAGCCATGGCATTTCACAAACAAAGTGATGTGTGTGCAAACGTGGCATTTCACAAATAAAGCGGTGCATAGTCAGTTGAACCATTTTACAAATCCTCCAGCACTCATTTCAGAATTATGGGTTCATGTTTTATTTGTTTACTGTTTGTGCGTATTGAAAATTTTATTATAAATTCAATCATTTTTTTTTATTTTTTACTTAAACAATTTTCCACACTAATATTTAAAAAAAAATATGTAATTCTATTTACACTAATAATTTTTATATCAGGAATTCATCTCATTTTCCTTCTGAGTAATACCACAATGATTTTGATGATAAAATTTACTTTTGTACATTTTTCCCTCTCCCTCAGGCTTGCTCATACAACTGAGAAGCAAGAACTGAAGGCCTATTGAAAAATGCTTGATTTTCAGAAATTCTGGAAGAAATGTTGACTTTTTTTGAAAATACTTAACAATAACATTTTGACCCAAACCTGACAATAATAGGATGTGTTGAAAGTTAAATAAATGAAAATGTCTTTTTTGTTGTTGACACTGATAAATATTAAACAAAAAGGTACTTAAGATTTCTGGTAAAAGATATAATCCACATAATGTTGAAACCGAAACATTCACACTATTTACAGGTCTCACTTAACCCTTTATTCAGTCTACTCCCAGGAATTGAATAAAGAGTCCAGTTCAAATTTCCATTAAAGTTATTGGGTTCATTTTGCAGTAAATGTAAAAGGCTGGAGGGCATCAATTATCTCGGAAATAAAGACAAATAAAACAAAATCATTCTAGGAAAGTTTCAAAATCTTTAAAGCAGGTTATTTGATCTGTGTGTATAATGTTTGCAAAAGTTTTTCAAAACTATATTTGCAAAAAGATTAGCATGCTTTCTCTGCATGTTCAAAAAATGAAACTTTAGTTTTCCATGGTCAATTGAATTGGTATATTTTCCATACTATTCATAATAAGAATAGGTTTCATATTCTTGGATTGATTATTATTTCTTTTAACATATCCAGCTATGCATATGAAAGTCATTTTTATTTCTTCAGAAAGAGATGGTTCTTAATTTTCCAGATTGTCCAATATTTCTGAACCTTCCTTACAAAGTTTATAATCAGAAGATGTACATTAGTGACCTGGTCTAACATCAAAAGCATCAATATTTACATTCTGATTTAAAAGTAAAGATGTCTGCTTAATATGCAGCTTTTCAATGTGCTGTTGGACATTTATAAAATAGTTACCACCTGATCCTTGATGAAGTTTACTAAATTCTTTTTCTAGTGGATCAGTTGTAAATTGCCCAAGTAGCACATATTTATGGCTTGTAGCTAAAAGGTGTTGACATAGACTAACAATTCCATTGCAAATATGGTGTAATGTCATAGCAGTTTGTTTGGATAATCGTTTTATATGATTACCTTGACTGCCAGCCATATTAAGAACCATTTGACCAAACTCAATGATAAAATCAAGTCAGCTGTCATTCAAAGATCTGATTTCAGCTAGTATAGAGTCATTGCATCATTTATCAATT